GTCGTCTGTCTGTCTTGGAAAGCTTTTAGAGTTTTATGTTTTCATATGGTTTCTCAAATGTCTCTAATGTTGGTTGTCTCTTCCTATATTCTCTCCTTTCCTCTGCCCTCTCATCCCCCTCTGCATTTAATCTTCCTCATCTATGTCCCCTTCATCTCTTTGTAATACTGTGTTTGATCCCTCCTTTCCTGGGAGAGAGAACTAGAGATACCTGCTCTGGTCCCTTACTAGCTACCTAACCTGCACAGCTCTTCTAGTTGAAGCACACATGCCTAAAGCTTAAAAGCTAACATCAACATAAAAGAGAAAATATGGAATATTTGGTTTTGGGGGAGTCTGAGCTACTGCTTTCGGGATAATTGTTTCTAGCTCTTATCCATTTACCTTTAAACATCATGATTTTATTTTTCTTAACAACTAGATACAGTACTTTCGAAGGTCCCTAAAGTTAAAAGTTAACTCCCTGTTGCATTCCTGGGGTACATACCATTAATTCTAATGTTTTACTGAGTGATGTGTATTAATAATGTAACAAGGGTTTTATATTTATTTTCACATAGGTTATTGATTCAGAATTCCTTTTCTTTTTTCTAATTTAATAAAAATAAAATTATTGTCTTCTATAAATTTCTACTATGAAAGATAAAAACCTTCAAAACACTTCAGTTATCTGGCCGGAAGGTGATTTTTTTATGTTACTTGTTGCCTCGGGGCTCTAAGTCCTACTTATCTCATAAATCAGTTTTTTCTTCAAAACGTTTCCAATCTCATGTGTTTTTATTAACAGTGAGTGTGCTCTAAGTGCATTTTATCTATCGTTTTAACCTTATTTAATTTTTTATTCAAATGTTCTACTTCCTTTCACAGTAGTTTATTTTTATTTTTGGTTGGTAGTGCCCGTAGTTTGTTAGGGAAAACAGAGGTGGGTTGAGGATCTCTAACAGTGACAGGCTTGCTTCCTTCCCTCTTTCCTAAAATGCCTTTTTCTGATGCTCTGTTGTGCCCTGTCTCTTCCTCATTCTGCAGTGTACCCCCCAACTCTAATCTGCCCTTTGGTGGGTATTGATATTTCAACCTTCACTCTTTTCATCTCCTATGATTGCCCTTTATCTCCGGTCCCTTTTGTTTAGCTTTTGCTTGTCTCTCTCTCTCTCTGAGTGTCTGGATGTCTCAGTGCTGGTGGTGGCACTAGGATTCCAGAGACTGAGCTGGGTGGGAATGGCAGAGCAGAAGGTGCATGGGTGAGCAGAGCAGGTAAGGTTGGGAGACTGAAGGGCAGAGAAGAAACGGAGCCTCCAGCTTCAGATGCGGGGAGGCAGAGTGCAGCCCTTGGATGTTGGCATGTCAGAACAGGTTAAGAGAAGCAGAATTTGAGAGGCCATGGACCATCTGCCTCACTGCTCACAAGTCACCCTTAAGAGCTAGAGGGAGGCCAGGGCTTAACCTTAGAGATGGGGCCTCCCACAGAGTTATGGCAGTTCCTCATGCTAGCTGAGATCTTCGGGAACTGTTTTCATAGCATTGAGAGAATGCCCAAATTCTTTGTCTCGGGCTTTCTGTAAATAAAAGACAGTAAGATTTGTTCAAAAAATAACCCTGTAGGAATATTTGGGTGTATGTGGGTGTGGGGGTAAACAATTTCCAAATGTTAAAGGGCCTTTTGAGGCTTTGCTGACAGAGTTGTTGTGATGTTAGCATTGCTTATGAATGAAGGTTTCCTTGAAATGTGTCTGATGAAGAGTTAAAGTGTTTTCAAAATGTGTCCTGTGTGCAGCTCATCTCCTCTGCCATGAAATGCCATTTCACCATGATTTGATGGAGCCTTTTCTCCTTAAGCCTTGCTTCTTCCAGTGTGCTGTGCTCGGCATGGTAATTAGGGACTTCAGCTGTCAGCGACATGATGCTCCTGGCTGCTTCTTGAGATCTCTTTTCCCAGAACCTCAGTCCTCACATTTCCCTGGCAGACTGTGCAGTGTGTGTGAGTGGTAGGGCTTGGGGGAAGCGTGTAAAAACCAAGGCTGTGAAGGAGAATCGGCCAGGGATGCTGGCTTTTCATTGAAGTTTAGTTGGAGTTTCAATGAGGTGAGACTGTTTTGACAGACTTCAAAATGTAATGATAGAAAAATGAAGGGGGTTCATCAAAGTCACAGTAAATACGGAGTAACAGCTCAGCGACTCAGCATGAGGAGACAACAACCCTAAAACCTCAAAAAAAAATACCGAGTAATTAAAATGTACATTGTGCAGCCTCCTTCTCAGTAGGTACCTTTCCAAGGGAAGCAGTGATTTTATTGTGAAAAATATAAACACAATTTTGGAGATGTAAATTGCATGCATGTTTTAGCCTTACTCATAAACACAGAAAGTTTCCAAATTGTAAATATAATCAAAGCACACAACTATAGTAGAAATCTGACTTGAGGAAGATCCCCAAAAGGCAGAAAGCTCCCCTGGCCCCTTTCTCTCTCCTACTCACTGACCTACCCCTTCAGTGCATTTGGAAAAGATCAGGTGGAATTCTATGCTCCCATTCCTGAGGACATACACCCTTCTTGTTTGTTTTATTACTTAGAAGGGATGATGATTTTTGTCTCTCTTTCCTTTCCCATTTCCCTTCTCTTTTCTTTGTGTATCATATGGAGGTTAGCATCAAAAAGATGAAGAAATTCATCAAAATGTTACCAAACTCCTTGCATTTCCCCACTTCCAACATGGACCTCAACTAGAGGCAGCCCCAAGGATTGAGCATAGGGAGCTTGCCTGAAATAGAAAAGTCACTAGAGGACTGCTGAAAATATGTGTGACTCCTGCCTTGCTTGCCACTTGCTGCCTTGGCGATTTTGAGTAGAGCCCTTTATTTATTTGGACCACAGTTTCCCTGTCAAATGCATTGGTTTTGCCTGGGTGCTTTTTGAGTCAGCCTTCCTTCAATATTGCGCCCCATTCATCCACCCCCATGCAACTGGAGCCCTGAAGATCCAAACCAGAATAGTACCTTTCTTGAGGTACCCTTGAGTTCTCAGGAAAATTGTCACACAGAAGACCCAAGGAGTGAAGTGGCATACATCTCTGGGATCTTCTGTCATCCTTTGAACATCTAGGGTAGATTCTGACCAACTTCGTGTACCTCAGGATATCAGGAAGCGCCCTGGTGTGGTAATGATATAATCCCAGAACTTGGGGGGGTGGTAGATTTCAAAGTAGCCTAGGCTGTGTAGTAAGACCCTGACTCAAAAAGACAAGCTTAAGCACAAGAACTACAGAAAAGAAATGCATTTATTACTTTGCTTGGCATCAGCTGACATGCATATAGTATACAATACATACAGTGTGGAACACAGTTCAGAATGACAGAGACTCTGCACATGGTGTGTGTTCTAAATGGGAGGAGAGTTCTGGGTATTGAATTGCAGTTTTGGGGAGGTTTAGATGAAGAAGGGCATGCTGCTAAGAATGCCAAAGTCAAGTATAGCCACTTTGAGGAAACCGTGGGTGAGCTATGACCCAATGGATGCTTTGGAATTAGCTTAAAAAGCTACAGAAGACACAGATGGCATTCCTGGAGGAGAGAGAGTTGTGAAGGAAGGGCAGTGGGTTTGTTTAACAGAGCACAAAAATGTCCCATTCTAGTATGTCACACTGTGCTGTGGTTGGCACCCTTAAATTACAGGGCCTGCAGAATGACTTCCCTGGGACCACAGGCTGCACACCCAACAGGAGATGCTCACGGCTTTTATGTTCCCATAAAACCACCATGTCCTCTGCTCTTGGCTGTGTAACCAGCAGTAACTAAACAGTGTCTATGGAGCTTAACATTTTCTCCAATCAGCTGTGACCTGAGGCCACCACACCTCAAGGAGCACGGGTGACATCAGAGCAAATGGCTCTGGTGATATCTGACACCAGCGTACTTGGCAATGCCCAGAGAATTGTGGCTGCTGTTATTCGGTATTTAGCTTTGTACTCACCCTGCCACTCAGAATAGGATTTGAGGGTTGTGAACTAGACTCTTATTTAAGCTGTGGTAACCACCAAACCCATCTGGTCCGTGGCGTATATTTCATGGGTAGACTGGATCTACTTTGTGGTACAGTCAATGGTTTCAACACTTGAATGAAGCCCAGGGTGGATGGATCTCAGAATTGTGGAACTTCTTCTGTTTCTAGGAGCTTCCTCACTTAAATTCACATAGAGGAAGAGTTCTGGGCGGAGTCCATGGGTATGCATATGTATGTGACTCTGCATGCCAGGGAAGGGGAAACAGCCACATGAGAACTGACCAGAGAGGTGGCCATCAGGGCAAATCCCTCAGTCAGCACTGCCTGCCCTAAGTAGTCCCTTAGGCCAAGATTGCTTTATTCCACCTCACCCCCAACTAATTTGGAAATCTGCTTGTCATCCTCAATTTGTGACCTTTGTTCCTCTTGATCAAGCCTAATTTGTTGTTGATTGTTTTACTCTTTACTCTTACTCTTTTGAGGGGTCTACCACACTGCTCCCAAATAAATCACATGGAGGTTTATTCTTTCTTATGAATGCCCAGCCTTAGCTTGACTTTTTTCTTTTGCCAGCTTTTCTTAAATTATCCCATCTGCCTGTTGCCTATGAACTTTTACATTTCTTTATTCCCGTACACTTCTCTTTACTTCTTACTCTGTGGCTTGCTATGTAGCTGGGTGGGTGGCTCCTGGAGTCCTCCTCTCCTTTTCTTTCTCCTTCCTTGATTTTCTTTTCCCAGATTTCCCCTTCTATTTATTTTCTCTACCTGCCAGCCTTGCCTGTCCTCTCTCCTGCCTGGATATTGGCTGTTCATCTATTTATTAGACCAATCAGGTATTTGAAACAGGCAAAGTAACACAGCTTCACAGTGTTAAACAAATGCAACATAAAAGAATGCAACACATCTTTTCATCATTAAACAAATTTTCACAGCATAAACAAATGTAACACATCTTAAAATAATATTCTACAACACTAATTTACTTTTCCTTTGCTTTTAGGAGAGTAGACCTGGAGAAAGCAACAGCTGTGTGGAAGAAATAATTCGGGTAAGGATACTCTTTAAAATATTATCAACATATTGGCCATGCACAGATTTCCCTAAAGAAGGAATTCCTATGGCCACATTATCCAAGGGATCCGTCATGGTTTGTTGTTTGATGTTTACCTGTTCTGAGGAGGGTCATTGAAGTCACCAAAGTGTCACCCAATGGAGCAGCCCTTCCCTTCAGCTTTCTAGGAGGTTGTGAAGTCCTGGTGTTTTGAGGCACACCGAGGTGACACTATTAAGGCATTCAGCTAGATGAACAAGAAAACAGATGTTAGGTGAAAAATACATCAGGGCTCACATCTGTATGCACTCATTTATCACCCGAGCATCCTTTATTACTATGTCCTGTTCCTTTAACACTATGTCCTGAGTCAGGCAGGGGCTGCCTTGTGATTTTTCTTCTAAACTTAATTAGAGTCAGAATCTCCTGACATAGAGATAGTGCTGAAGTCTAAACTGCATTTCTATGTTGTGTTGCAGATTATTAACTTTTTTGGTGCCCTGCTTGCCTTCCTTCCTACTGCCTTCCCTTTATAAGCCAGTTTCACACAGAGATGGACAAGTTCGGCTTTTCTGAGTGTTCTAACTTATAATCTGGAAGTCACCATTAACCCATAGTTTTTTCTTTACTCGTATTTTTTTAAGAGGAAATAACCTAAAAATTTACAGTTCTTAGAAAATTGATACTACACTGGGCAAAACATCAAAATAAATTACACTAGATGGTATGGTCATTTCCTGTAAAGAGGTGAACATTAACATGTTCCTACCTTTTGGATATCCTTCATGTATTTTCACTAATTACCAACACCGTACAGTATTATTATATAATTACTTGACTTAACAATTTTTACCTTCACAAATTGATTTCAAAGATGGATATTTTCCTTCCAGAAAAGTGTTACTTCGCACATAAATCTTCCTAAACTCTCAAGTTGGTCAGAGCAACTAAAGTTAGTTCTTTTTAAATCTGTAATGATTTTTCTGATCTTTAATTATATTGAGTCCATATTTTATTTTTAAAAATCTGCATTGTCTATTTTGTTTCAGATTAAACTACAGATAGTATATGATGATGATAAACTTCTATTTTAATATTTCAAAATGTTTTCATGTTGGGGCTAACTCCTCCACTGTCCTTTGATTGGGTGTATTGTCTGTGATTGTATACCACTCTTTCTGTGATTAGACTTGCCTCCTTATATCATCTCTTGTCCATTCTGAAGAAATGTGTCATTTGTCATCCCTTCTCCCTGCTCTCTGACAGGGTCTCCCAGGCTGGCCTGGAACCCAGGATTCTGCCTCCACTTTCTAATTGCTAGGATTACGGGTGTGTGCCATCAGGCTCAGCCCCGGACTTTTTGTTCTCGTCATTAGACGGGGCTTGAAATTGAAATAAGCCTTAAATAATTTATACATCAAAAAGTTATACTTTCAGGAAGCTGAAATCCATTTAAGTAAAGCAAATTCCTTCAGTCAAATTTAAAGCCTTTACTTTTTCTGAGGAGAACTAACGAAGGCCTCAGACCCATCCCCACCCCTGTCCGCCCCACTCCTAACCTTCTTACAACACTGACTCACAACCTCCCACTTGGCGCTGCCTCTGCCACAGCCCTCCTCCAGTCAGCTGTGGCACAAAGAAAAGGACTGGAGCCGTGAAGTAGATGGATTAGTGCCCACACATGAGGCTGGGGGTTCCACAGTTGTACTCGCTGGCTCTGGATGTGGGGACTGTGTGAAAGAAAGCGAGCTGTTTGAGCTCTCCTCCTCTTAGAGCCCTTAAGAAGTCCAGTTCTGGAGAAGTGGTAGTGGAGTCTGTCCTGGACGGGTCTTTTCCACCAACTCCCACACTCTTCAGGCAGTGCCGGTAGGGGTTGGTAATGGAGGCGTTACCAGAGGATGCTCTGTGTGTCCAGTGGTACCCGGGTTTTTTTCTTGCTAGCTATTGCCTCACGCAATTGGTGATTCTCCATTCTCCATAGTCATCTGTCCCTCTCTCCCTAAATGTATTGTCTCCCCCAGACACAAGCGCAGGGCTCCCTTCACTTACAGCCTAGCATACTTATTGTGTATCTGTCACACACCAGCACCCCACCCCCAGACTATGGCCCCTATTTAAAGTCAACGAGCAAGTAAGTGAATGAGCAAAAGAACCCTCCAAAGGAAAACCACGAAAGCCATCGTGATACATTTGCTGAGTCATGGCTATGGTTGGTTGTCCTTTTGATGTCTTGTTTCCATGGATAGCCTTTGTAGAGCCCACTTTTCTTCGTAATTTTCCTGTTCTGTGACTAATGTGGGGAAACCTGATGTGGTCAGGGTCATTGGGAGTACTTGTTTGAAGCCATGCTGTTTAAGGGGTGGTGCTCTCTTGTGCAGGAAGCAAAGGACCTTAAAAATGCCTCAGAATGATGGCAGTTGGAGTTCTCGTGTCCATCCTGTGTGGATAGGCAACTGGGAAAACTGGTGGGCTAAATAGTTGCGGCCCCCTTGCCCTTGTAGAATTGTCTACCTTCTAGTACAGGCAGACAGTACTGTCTCAGAGATCCAGTTAGGAAATACATAGCACCAGCTGGGACAGACTCAGGGATTTATGTGACCTTACCATATGCTATATGACCTTTCTTGTGGTTAAGGCTGATCTCTCTGGTAGTTAGAAGGTAAATACGACGACATTGACTGAGGAATGATAAGGGCCCCCAGCAAAGGAAATGGCAGAGTTCAACCTGTGAGAACCCTATGAGGGCAAAGTAGACCAAAATGACTTGAAAGTTGGTGGGTAGAGATAGCAGGAGCAAGATAGTGCTGGCCTCCCAGGAGTGTTCAAGTCCTGTGGAAGGGAGCCATGAGGTTGGTGGAGGGTGATATGGTCAGAGTGGCAGTTTCCGTTCCCTATCCTGACAACCATGGCAGATGGGATAAAGAGGTCAAAAGAAGGAGCAGGGAAGAGTAGAAGTCATTGAAAGAGTGCAGAGGAGAGATGTTTGGAGGGACACTCTCAAACGTGAGCAGTGGGGGCACTTAGGATTACTTCCGTCTTAGGGGAGAGAAGGGCAATAGGAATCCATTTATAGACATGCTGAGTTGAAGGGCATTCGGAGCATCCAAAGAACAGAGACGAGCTTGTAGGTGAGTGTAGCTCACAGCGGCCGGCTGAACTAATTGGTAATAGCACTGCAGATGCGCCACATTTTCCAGGAGAGAGGGCGGGAACCAAAGAAGTGAGAGCATAAAGGCCCAGGCAAGAAGTTCCACCTGTAAACAAGAGAACTGAGTGGAACGTATGGCAGGTAGATGCTTAGCGTGATGGGTCAGTTCTCAGAGTTTGAAGGAAGGAAGCTGAGGTATTCTGCTATAACAGATCCCCATGTCCATGTGAGGGCAACGTGAAAGTGCCAGCCCATGCGCATGCGCCACCCGTTAAACTCACACCAGTTTGTGGCTCACATTGCCAACTGCGTCTTTAACTTCTGCCTCTTCTCCCTTCCTTTATTTTTTGCTGAGGTGACTGTTTTCAAATCATTTGAATATTACAATGCATTCTAATGTACAATTACTTTTTATTCTTACTCGGAGAATTTTCATCCTGGGACCTAATAAATCTGTGCACAATTACAGAATTCTCGTACCCAAGGGCGAGTTCTGTGGAGATGGGCCTTAAGCGCTTGAGGCCCTTGTGTCTGACATATACTCATGTTGGCAGTTCTGCAAGTTGTCCTACATTTCACCCTTGGAGGTTCAAATGGTATAATATACCTTGGTGCCTTTCATAGCATCATCCATTAACATATAATGGCATTAACATTTGTTCAGCCAATAAAAGCCGTTTACAACATAATGGAAGGTGTGCAGGGCTAGAATCCAGGATACACAAGTTTTGTGCAAGAAGGTTTTAGATTACACTTTGCTGAGGGCACCCCCACAAAGTGCTCTGCCTTTATAATAACAACCAAGGGGCCAGTGCTTGAGATTCTGGTTTGAATTTAGAGACTATTTGAGTGCAGCGTCTGAACAGATTCCCTTCTTGGCTATCTTCTTTACTCACTAATTTAATTCTAGTGTGCTGTGAGGTATCCTTCGTGGGGATTTGCATAGAGTTGCATTCCTCTGTTTATATGAAGGGGATAAGTGGTACTTGTTTAAATTCTAGGGATCCATTTCCTGACATAATAGAACAGCCTTCAGGCGAGTACAGGGAAATCAGTTTTTTCCATAATTTCGCAAAACCTGAAGATCCCACTACATAGCATCCCTGGAAAGGTTTGTGCATTGTGAGCAGTGTCATATGGCTTGCACATCAGCACAGCCTATCACATGGCCAGGCTCTGGGTGATGGGACAAGAGAGGCCTTGTACTCAAACATCTACGTTCTCCTTGCCCCAGTTGAAAACATATTAGCTACTCTGTGCCTACTGAACATGAGAAACAAAGAGATGTCTTGTTTCAGTGATTTGCTTGGGTCATTTGGAGAACTGGCTCAGGTCACATCTCCTCCACTGAAGGCCAGAATAGCTTTTTATAAAAGTTCATACTGTTTCTTGTATCATTTTTTTCATTTGTTTCCAACACTAAAAATATAATTCAGGGCAAGTTATAGCCCACCAGTAACAAAAATCAACCCAGGGAGAGAGAGAACTGTCAAGGAATAACATTAATATATTCCATTACTTTTTATAGAAAAATAAACCGGACTGGGGTAATGCACACTTTTAATCACAGCACTCAGGAGGCAGAGGCAGGAGGATCTCTGTGAGTTTGAGGCCAGCCTGGTCTACAGAGTGAGTTCCAGTCCAGCCAGGGCTAAAGAAAGAAAGAGAGGGAGGAAGGAAGGAAGGAAGGAAGGAAGGAAGGAAGGAAGGAAGGAAGGAAGGAAGGAAGGAAGGAAGGAAGGAAGGAAGGAAGTGACTGTAAGACATTAGGGGCTAGAGAGATAGTTCAGCAGTTAAGAACACTGGCTACGGCCTGGGTTAAAGTCCCAGCACCTCACAGTAATTCTAA